CGGGTGTTCCCCTAAAGTCTTGTGCAAACTAGATCCCAAAATCACAGATGGCAAGGGGTGTCACCCTTGGGTTTCGTAAAAACTTGAGATCCCAAAATCACAGATCGCAGGGGGTGTGCCCCTACAGGTTCTTTCGCGAACTAGATCCGGGAATCATAAATTGCAAGGGGTGTCCCCTTGATGATGGAGATGATTGAGATGATGAAGATGATGAAGATGATGAAGATGATCAAGATGATGAAGATGATGGAGATGATGAAGATGATGAAGATGATGGAGATGATGAAGATGATGGAGATGATGAAGATGATGGAAGATGATGGAGATGATGGAGATGATGGAAGATGACGAAGATGATGGAGATGATGGAGATGACGGAGATGGCAGGGGGCAGGGGGCAAATGGCGAAGGGGAGGGAATGGTGAGGAGGTGGGGACAGGCAGGGAGGGCAGGAGAGGGGGCAGGGGAACAGGGGGGGGGGGTGTGGTGGGTGGGATGGGTGCGGTGGGCGGGGTGGAGGGGTGGTGGGGTTGGGTGGGGTGGTGGGGTTGGGTGGGGTGGGTGGGGCGGTGGAGTTGGGGGGTGGGCATTGGAGGAGTGGGTGTGGGGTGGGGTGGCCGGGGATCCCGGAAGGGGCCGTGAATAATTTAAATATTGGGAGGGTGCCCCGGATTTAATTATTTATATTATTTAATTCCCGAGGCCCCGGACCCTCCCCCAGATCCCCTCCCCAGGAATTAATTAAATTATTTAATTCCCGGCCCCAAATAAATAACTTAAATAATTTAAATAATTTAAATCCTGGGGGAGGGTCCCGGGGCCCCGGACCCCCCCAGACCCCCTCCCCAGGATTTGAACTATTTAAATCATTTAATTTATTTAATTCCAGGCCCCAAATAAATAGTTTAAATAATTTAAATAATTTAAATCCTGGGGGAGGGTCCCGGGGTCCCGAACCCCCCCCAGACCCCCTCCCCAGGATTTAATTATTTAAAGTATTTAAATTATTCAATTCCCGGCACCAAATAAATAATTTAAATAATTTAAATCCTGGGGGAGGGTCCCGGGGCCCCGGACCCCCCCAGACCCCCTCCCCAGGATTTAAATTGTTTGAATTATTTAAATTATTTAAATTATTTAATTCCCGGCCCCAAATAAATAATTTAAATCCGGAGGGAGGGTCCCGGTGCCCCGGACCCCCCCCCAGACCACCTCCCCAGGATTTAAATTATTTAAATTATTTATTTCCCGGCACCAAATAAATAGTTTAAATAGTTTAAATAATCTAAATAATTTAAATAATTTAAATCCTGGGGGAGTGTCCCGTGGCCCCGGACCCCCCCCCAGACCCCCTCCCCAGGATTTAAATTTTTTAGATTATTTAAATTATTTGAATTATTTACTTCCCGGTCCCAAATAAATAATTTAAATAATTTAAATCCTGGTGGAGGGTCCCGGGGCCCCGGACCCCCCCAGACCCCCTCCCCAGGATTTAAATTATTTAAATTATTCAAATTATTCAAATTATTTAATTCCGGGCCCCAAATAAATAATTTAAATCCTGGGGGAGGGTCCCGGGGCCCCGGAACACCCCCCAGACCCCCTCCCCAGGATTTAAATTATTTAAAATATTTAAATTATTTAATTCCCGGCCCCAAATAAATAGTTTAAATAATTTAAATCCTGGGGGAGGGTCCCGGGGCCCCGGACCCCCCCCAGACCCCCTCCCCAGGATTTAAATTATTTAAATTATTTAAATGATTTAATTTTTTTAATTCCCGGCCCCAAATAAATAATTTATATAATCTAAATAATTCAAATAATTTAAATCCTGGGGGAGGGTCCCGGGGCCCCGGACCCCCCCCCCCCCAGACCCCCTCCCCAGGATTTAAATTATTTAAATTATTTAATTCCCGGCCCCAAATAAGTAATTTAAATAATTCAAATCCTGGGGGAGGGTCCCGGGGCCCCGGACGCCCCCCAGACCCCCTCCCCAGGATTTAAATTATTTAAAATATTTAAATTATTTAAAATATTTAATTCCCGGCCCCAAATAAATAATTTAAATAATTTAAATCCTGGGGGAGGGTCCCGGGGCCCCAGACCCCCCCCAGACCCCCTCCCCAGGATTTAAATTATTTCAATTATTTAAATTATTTAATTCCCGGCCCCAAATGAATAATTTAAATATTTTAAATCCTGGGGGAGGGTCCCGGGGCCCCGGACCCCCCCCAGACCCCCTCCCCAGGATTTAAATTATTTAAATTATTTAAATTATTTAGATTATTTAAATTATTTAATTCCCGGCCCCAAACAAATAATTTAAATAATTTAAATAATTTAAATCCTGGGGGAGGGTCCCGGGGCCCCGGACCCTCCACAGACCCCCTCCCCAGGATTTAAATTATTTAAATTATTTGAATTATTTAAATTATTTAATTCCCGGCCCCAAACAAATAATGTAAATAATTTAAATAGTTTAAATCCTGGTGGAGGGTCCCGGGGCCCGCCCAGACCCCCGCCCCAGGATTTAAATTATTTAAATTACTTAAATTGTTTAATTCGGGCCCGGGACCACCCACAGAACAGACATAGGATATAATCGCCATCTGCCTGTCTATGTTAAATACTATAGGAGTGAAAACCCACAGTTTCAGCTGGCGATAATATCCCATTTAAGCCGCACACGGGGGTGGGGGTGTGTGGGGGGGTGTGTGTGGGCGTGTGGGTGTGTGTGGGTGTGTGACATGTGTGTGGCGCATTGGCCCCAGAATGTCCAAGCACATGTTATGGACTTTAGGGGGCACGAATTTGCTCCCACCGCCGTCACCACCCTGCCACTCAAACTTCGGACTTCAAATCGCTGGAAGTGTTTCAGCGCGCCGAGGGAATGCCGTCGTCCCTTTCGGGGGACACCAGGGCCTTGAAGCATGATTGGCGGTTGTTGTACACTGAGGGTGCCCCCGGAATAGTTTGACGTCGATGCGGACGGAGAACATGCGAAATGACTGAGAGGTAACGAAGCACAATTGCCGACTCTGGAAAACGCGGAAAGCTTTAACAAGTCTTCATAAGGCTGCGGATTCCAGATATGTCCCGACCAGAGAGACCGAGTATGGTGACACCACCGCATACCACCGCCCCGACTTCAGAACTTCGGAATTGGAAGGAGTTGAAATCGAAGATGCCACCGGCACCATGCGCGAGACTGCCACGGCACTGCAGTCGGTCCTGCAGCAGCCACTTCCGCCAACTGTGCGCTCGCGGGAATTTTAGGGACGGAGATTTCCGACAGACACAGCTTCGTTGCACTTCGTTGCCCTGTTGTGTCCTACACGGGCACACTGCGCAGATTACTGTCGGGGCCCGGGACTTCCGATGCAATGCTTCAAGAAGAACATGATGAAGACACTGAGAGCCCGCTCACGTAGGCAATTCGACAGCCTTCCTGTGACCTTGCAGGTTCTTCATCCAGATGAGTCCCAGACGGTCCGCTTCGATTTTTCGGCTAGCGACATGAAGTTGTTTTGCTCGGGACGTGCCTTGGTCAAGCTGATGCGACTCTACCCCGTATCGATAGCACGATACTCAGAGATGGATTGAGCTTGAGGTGGATGGGCGGCTTACCTGCATTTGGGATTTCAGAGAATCTCGGATCAAGTCGTGTGATTGTTGCCACGGCAGCTGACGCACATGCCCCCAAAGCAAGGATGCAACAAACATAGGCAGAGTAGAATCAGAACATATTACTTCTTCGATGTTATGGCTCTTACGGCAGAAGTATCTCGAGATCTGTGTAAAAAAAACATGACAACGCAGGGACAGCCAAACCCACTGGCAGCATTTTCAGCACCCCAGTGATGCAACACTTTGCGAAGGTTCCTCAGCAGAAGATCGAGGTCCGTTTTGGTGCATCCAGCAAAGACATCCGTCAGACGCTCTCAACCGATTTGGCCGAGTCCGAGTGACAAGCTTGGGCTGACAGCTCAGACTTCCGAGATGGCAAAGAGCTAAAATGTTCGCCGAGCACAAGCAGCGTACATTCTTGACCGCACTGCACGCGAGCCATGCGAGACCTTTAGAGTTGGTGGGAGATGTTGTTTTCGGTGCGAACACGTTGGCATTGACTTTCGGTGTGGCACGTAAGATCCTAGCAGCTAGCAGCTGTAATTTTGGATATTCGTGTCAGCGACATCACATCTTGAGACGGAGTTCTTTAAACTTGATACAGTTACAGAAGGGTTGTTCGGCGAGTAAGTCTTTGAAGCACTGGTGTTTGCAGTCTGTACAGTGGCAGGTACGCAAGCTCCACTGCCTTTTCGCCAACCGCGCACCCGGCTTAGCTACATCAGTGGCTGCCCCAGCTGAAGCTTAAATGCTCTTTCCCCCCGCCAGCAGCTCGCCGGCCATCGCCCCCAACGCCTGCGAACCGCTCGAAACTGAGCTGGGTTGAGCTGATTTGTGACATGCTGTTGCTCATGACCCTGCTGGTAGAAGCGAGAAGCTGGCACCATGCAGAACTCTTCGGCACTCCATACTGTACTGTCGTACTTGTAGCGTTACGCCTGCCGGCTTTGACGGCTGTACTTGGCCAGGCTAAAGGCCTTTCTCCTTGTTCCGCAAACTGAGGCACCCATCGATGTCGGTCGAGAATTCGCCGGAACACGGAGGTCTTGGAAACTGTTGTGACTTGTGGAACGCGCTGCTTCTGTTCGTTTGCATTGTACCGAACTGTGACTTGATGCCGTGCCGGGCCTTAGGCGAGACTACAAGATGGCCCTTGCAGTTGCATTCCTTGTGCCCGTGGCTCAGTGTAAGAGGAAGAAGCTGTAAGAAACCAAAAAACACTTTTACGCAGCAGCTTCAAGTCTAGCAACCTGTAGGTTCGCATTTTCGCACGTTGTTGAACGACTTAAAACCCTCTGCAAATACAGCGAGTGCGGCGGAACAGGACAACAGGGCAGGCCAGTCATTTCGGTCCAAAGGCGGTTTCATTGAACATGGCAGTGAGCTATTGGTATACTGGTATACACTATGCAGTCAGCTTGCTCCTGCCTTCGAAACTTCACCGTGAAGGGGAGGAAAATGAATTTGAGATCTTGACGCTTCAAAAGATATGTGCTGAATGGTGTCTTGCTGTCTTGCTCCAGTACATCCACTTCTTACCTCTGTGCAAACGGATGTCGGTGCTGGCAGGTGGCTGGCGAGGCGACTTGCCGATGGTAATGTCGGGTGGCGGACGCCGTTTGCAAATGTTGCATGTGCGGAAGATAGGAGCAGTTCCCGCTGCCCACTTAAGGATCGCTGAAGCAACAGTCCCAAGAGCATGAACCATGCAATATGCGGATGTCTTGCGCCGGTGCGCACACTTGCCGGAGCAAGCAGGGTATGAGGCACCCTTGTACTAGTAATTGAGGCATAACGGACGTCAGCAATGTGGCCATCCTGGAAGTGGTGGCTTAGCTGACATGGTGAATTTGACCGAATTGCTGTGACGATCGTACCTGGTCGAGTGCGGATGCTAAAACAGATCGTGGTATGATAGCCTGAGTTTGCACTGGCACATGCAGTTCCGCACCCAAGTGTCACCAAGTGTCACCAGAGCCAAGCTCACTCGCCGGGGGAGGCATCAAGAACTGTGTCCTGGCGTGTAGTTTGACCTCCTTCTAAACACTGCTGACATTGTCGGAGCAATTTGGTTTACACCGGTTCTGCTTTACGGCGCCCCAGCTTGAGATTGTGGGGCCGTAGGGTTTTCCGCAGTAGACCACAGCAAGTCGCGGACTTCGCTATTTCTGGTTTCTTTTCTTTTTCACGCGCTATGTCGCCTCTTCCCTTTCGGGAATAAGCACACATGTTCCTACGAACACCGGATGATCGAGTTTGATTCCGGTATTTTCTGCTCCTGTGGTTCAGCGAAAATCGACACCTCATCTGACATGCATGAGAGAGAGTTGTGTCGGGGCGATCAGCTGTGTCGATGCGAGATCCCTCCTGTTCTTGCAAACTAAGGCCCGGACACCATAGTGGCGGAAAGACTGTTTGAACGTGCCAGGGGATTGTCCCGAGCGCAGAGCCATGGCGTTAGTCATGCTAGTGCCTCTAGGACTCCAGTATGAAGACAAGCTTCATAAGTAGTCCACTTCGCAGATTAAAACGTGGGCGAGGGATTGCCCCGACCGATGTCCGTGAGCTTTCCGAGCTCCTGCCGTTGTCGACATGCAAGTAACCAGTAAGCACGTGCACCCAATGACTGCGAGCAGGATTCTCCGCGTTTCGTCCTTTGCCCGATTCCCGAAATGCTCTGCACGGCACAAGAAGATGTAGGATGGATGAGCTGCAGGCAGCGATGGTGGCAACAAGCCGCTTCAACTTGTTGCACCCTGCATCTGCCTGTGTGCTTGTCGGCACGCATGTCAAGAATTCGCTTATGCATTTCTTATGCTTGTATGTGAGGGCACGGCCCAAGCTGTGTGCAGGGAGTTGAGTGCTGATTTGTCAGATTTCGCGAATCAGAATAACAACGCGTCCACGACCTCCTTATGTTGTGCCAACGATGCTGACCGGTCCAGCCGTGCTGCGCAGAACGTCACATCCAGCGCTTTGCTCCGCTTGTGATACCTGCCTGATCATTGGAAAGCGCTGCGTAACAAGACTTGTCACATCGCGGTGAGGATCCCAGATGCTGACGGTTTGTCCTTGTTCACATATGCAGCAGCGTGCAGCTGGATGGCTCCATGTGCAACTGAACTCGTGAACAAGTCTGATGTTCCGTGGCGCCTCCTTGCCCTTTGCCAAACGTGCTTGTATAGACTGACGCCTGGATGCTTGAATGGACAAAACGTGGTGAGACTAGCCCAGAATTTCTTCAGCAGCGTCTCCTGTCGGACCCCAGCAAGTTCCCCCGTTGGACCCAGGCCCAAGACCAAGACTTGACTAGCAGCGAACCCTATTTCCTGTGCGTGACTCAGTCTCTCTTCCAGGAGGATGCCATGAATCCCTTCCTTGCGCGCTACAGCTCCGCAACCGCAAGCTCTGTTGTGCATTCTAGATTCTGGCATGCAGTTGTTCTCTAGCCTGTGCTCGCAAGCATGCAAGTCTTGCTCAGGAGTTGAGGGTCTTTGTCGCGGCCTTAGCGGGTCACGCCTCATCATTCTACTCAGTTTACGCTCTTGCATGTTGGTTACTCCAAAGATCGCACAGATAAGCTTAATTCGCACTCGAATATGAACATGCGCTTGTTGCCTCTCCTGCTAGGTTCCGTTCAGCTTCGCTATGTACGTGGCAGCAGGAGGTGCCTCAGGCTCAGGGCGTCAAAACTGAAGTGGCACACACTGTCGCTGCCTGTATCCTTGCCTACATCCACATCCAGCACCGAATGGAGGCATTTTACAATCACACACCCCTCCTTCTTCCGCGATTTCGTTTGTGAGCACCCAAGTGCTCGCAGAAAGGTGCTAAGGAATTGTCAAATCCGCGGATCGGAGTCGTTGCGAGGAGCCCCAAACATTTACACAATCCAAGCGGTCGCGAGTCTCCATCTGGAGTCGTTTGTCATCCTTTGTCAACACGTGCTCCATCTAGCCTTGTCTAAACGAATCTAAATTCTGTTCCTCCGTCCGAAAGCTTGGAGCAGCACTGAGCAGCATACTGGCACCCCGGCACAGAGAAGAGCGCGCACTTCTAACCACTAAGCGCAGATTGAAGCAGTTGGCTACGGCCAATGAAGGCAGCGAACCTGCGGCGGGTACGTCCTTTCCAGACACGGAAAGAGACAGGACCAGAGCTTCCAAACGTAAATCCGAACATGTTTGGCAGCTTGCTTGGCGATACTTGGCGTTCTTTCCCGTTTGAACTTCTAGCTACGCCTCTGGGCCTGCGGATGCGGTGGGTCCTCTTCCTGGCGCGTCTCCCTCCAAGGACCCCAGAGTCAGCGTGGTGGCGCTTGCTCAAAGCGGTGGTGCCCCGACTTTTTCAACTTCTTTGTGGATGCCCCCTGTCCACGGACATGCGCTGGTAGCACTCTCAGGGTCGGACTTGCTTGCAGACGCTGTGACTTCCTGCAGTTGCCACCGTGCAGAGCCTCGCCCACTTCTGGGATGCTGCTGTTCGTGCTCGTATGTTGCTGTTTGTTTCGTTGTTTTGTTGCGATTTCGCTGTCGTTCGGGCACCTTAAGCCTTCGGGGTGCCTGGTCAATCTGTCACCTGACCTCACCTAGCCAGCTGCTGCTTTCCCGGACATGTTTCATGGGTCCAAAATGCACAGAGCTCCGGACAAAGTCTCATGCGGGGACAGTCCCCAGGTGAGTTCACTGCCATTGGCAGAAAAGGAAATTCGTTTTGCTCTGCTCGAAGCTGAGAGTTCGGGCCCTCGAATTCGGAAACTTGCTTGTGTTCGAAGAGCTGGCTTGAGGTGCCTATGGCTGAACTACACGCGAGAGGATTGGGCAATGCAGCACATGGTCGCTTCGCTCGTTTGGGAGGCGACCGTGCGCTGTTGTGATATGTACTCTTTCATGCAGCAATGCCAGGCCAATCCGTGATATGCTGCACACTGGTACACTTCAACGGATAAATTGCAATGTCAGCGGTGGTTGGTAGTAGTATGTAGTCGTCGTCCCAGAAGTAATTCGTCGTATAGCAGCAGCAGCAGCAGCAGCAGCTGCAGCTGCAGCTTCTTCGTCGTCGTCGTCGTGGTCGTGGTCGTAGTAGTGGCACCAAATGCAGAAGCAGCAGCACCAGCAGGAGGAGTAGGAGCAGGGTAGAGGAGGAGTAGTAGTTAGTAGTCGTAGTCGTCGTAGTTGTAGTAACTTAGTTGTACTTGCTCGTCGTAGTAGTAGTAGTAGTAGTAGGAGGAGGAGGAGGAGGAGTTGTTGGTGTAGTTGGAGTTGGAGTCGTAGTAGTGCTAGAACTCGTAGTAGTTTCAGTAGTAGTAGTGGGCGCCGGCCTGCACCTGTGAACCCCCCTTTTTCCTCTTTCGTCGCATGCCACAGCCGTTTCTGCGCCTCTTTCTCTGCGCTTGTGGACACTGCTCTGTTGTCCGGCTTCTATTACATAAATTTGTCCTATTGGACAGGGCTTTCCTATTAGATAGGGTTTCACTATTTTCCAGTTTCCGATTAGATAGGGTTTTCTTCTTAGACGGGTTTTTTCTATTAGATAGTTTCCTATTGGATAGGGCTTTCTCTTTGGATAGGGTTTTTCCTTTGACACAATGGTGAAAGGAGTTCTCTCTTAAAATTGCTAACCTTCGATTGGCTCGGTTTAGCATTCATATTGGTAGACGAGATTGGCTGATGGAGCATGTGCATCTTTGGCTATGGCGGCTATGGTTGTTTCACAATGCGGGAACGGAGAAAGCCCATGTAAGCGATGGGCGTTCTGACACTGTCGACTCTTGCAAATTGACTTGGGGGTGCTTCGAGTAAGTTTCGTACTTGTTCCACCTCCCGTCGAAGTAGTCGTAGGAAGTAGTCGTCCCGCCTGCCTTCTAAAGTAGCTGTAGTACTCCACCGCCTGCCCCTCTAAAGTAGTAGTAGTCGCCCACCTGCCCCTGCAAAGTAGCAGTAGTCCCCGGCCTGCCCCTTTAAAGTGGCAGTATTCCTAAGCCTCTTGGCGCTGTAAAGCCAGTTAAGGGGTCACAGGAGCAGGCTGGCGGCTAGTAGCAGTAGTAGTAGTCGTCGTCGTCGGCGCAGTCGCAGTGGCAGTTCCAGTGGCAGTGGCAGTAGCAGCAGTAGTAGTAGTAACAGTAGTAGTAGTAGCAGTAGCAGTAGCAGTAGCAGTAGCAGTAGTGATGATGGAGCAGAGCTTGGGTTCAAAGTAGCAGTAGTGGTAGTAGTTGTAGTTGTTGTTGTTGTTGTTGCAGTAGCAGTAGTGGTAGTAGTCGTAGTTGTTGTTGTAGTCGTGGCCGCCACGGGTCACAGAAGGCAGTGTAGCTGTGCTAACAAGGCTGTAGAGGCTCGCAACAGGCTTCCTTCGCGAGTCATAAGGGTTGTCCAACCGACTGAGCCGTTGCGATCACCAGAGCCCAACTGGTCCCAATTCCCGGGCCTCCCGGCGCACGACTGATATGTCCAGAAGGAGGTAGGTGGTAGGGTTTTCATTCGTCTGCGGCGTGAAAGGAGTAGCACTGGGCTTCAGCCTGGAGTTGCGAAACTAGCGGATGGCGACATAGACCAGAATTCATCTTACAGCATTCGCAAGAGAGCTTTCCGTAAAGCTTGCAATCGGGTGTTTCGCACACAATCTAGCCAGGAGTACCGACAGGGCAGGCTTACTCCCGAATACTTGAGGAGCAGTGGTCTAGGAATCCAACACCCGCAAGCACCAAGCATTAGCTCCCTGGACACACAAGTACCACCGAAACCAGGTGGGCGCAAGCAACGCAAAGTACCAGACAAGCTGACGGTACAATGTGGCAGGGAGCAAACAAATGTAGTTGTTTTAGCTTGTCATCAGGAACAAGCACTTGGCCACGAAAGCGGTGCATGTCACTGGTATAGGCACGGTAAGACTCCACTGACTGTCACTGTTTTGCGTGAGCCTTTGCGTACGCATTGAATGCGTAGGCACGCAGTTGTTCTTGCGATTTCTTGCGCAAATGCAACCGTCTTGTATGGTCTTGTCGGACCATTCAGGCCTAAGCCCGAGTTTGGAGCAACATTCACGCATGCAAGTCGCAACACTTTGCAAGTCATCACTGGCCGTGGTTAAACAAACCTTTTCGACACGATGCAAGCCCACAACAGCGTCAAGGCAAAAAATCAGCATGCATGTCGTTGCAGCTCCCGAACTTGTGCGGTTCAGAGGCAACAAAACGCATGCGCGACAAGGCCCATGAGCGTTCCTGCTGGTTCCAGTCTGTAGTTTTCGCTGTCTCCAGACAAGAAGATAAGGCGGGCTTGACCACACCTGTAGGATCTGTAGGGCAGCAATGCAGGACATGGCACACGCAACCAGCCACGCGTGGCAGGCCTCTGGCCACCAAAGCTGCGTTTACGCGTCTCGTAGCCAAAGCCTTTCTGCAATTGCCCGTGATCTCACATACAACACGAGACAAAGCAGCAGGAGGGCATCCCGAGCCCCGCTTGCGATGCAGCAGCGACCAATCCATGACAGCACCTTTGGTACCATACCAGGTTGCCAGCAAGACCGGATTGCAGGGAGCATAGAAATCAACCGGCCCAAGCACACCCGACGACACAAAACGCCGGTGGACATGGGCGGCACACATAGCACCGAAGCCACCGGGGCAAGGCAAGCCAGTCAAGTCGACAGCGCAGGGCCGACCAACACGCGAACTACTGTCAACACCGAGCGCAACATCAGAGTCACACGGGCCGACGTTGCCACGAGACTGCGGCAGGAACTTTGGCGGTCGGCGCCTACGAATGTCGTCAGGCCTGCGGGAGCATTGAGCAAGAGGTTGCAAGCGGTGATTATCACGGGCTTGCTGGCGGAGCAGCGAAGCAGTGTGCTCGAGCCACCTTTGTGCGACACCAGCATGCGCAGGGAAGCATCGTCTACGAGACAAGGCCATGCAGACATAGTAACCACAGGGGGCAACCCACGCATACAAGGCAGCACAGTCATCACGTGGCACGCCGAGCAAGTTCAAGCAGTCAAGCCCAGGCAATACAGCGACAAGTTGTACGGACGTGAGGCTGCAAACGGCTTTCTGTGCAGCATGACGGTGATCAGAGTGTGGTCAGCATCCAGCAACAAGCCAGCTCTGTGTGCCCAACGCAGCCGACGATTCGCTGACAACCAATAACATGATACGGCACACAACACATGCAGCCAGCATGCAGCCCAAAGGCCTCCGGAAACAACCATGCTTTCAACAGCAACTGGCAACTCGCAAGCACCTTCCACAATGCTTGTGGAGGACGTCTTGCACACAGCCGTCGCAAGTGATAAGCACCAGCTGTTGGGCCAACAAAGTAAATGTTTGACGAACAGTTTTTTGTGCCCAGCACAACAGCAAAAGCACAACGTTTGGCAACCGCTCTGAAGTGCGGCAAATGCTGACGCAAGCAAGTACTGTACGGCATCATGGGGAGGAGACCGACCCATGTCATGCGCAGCGAAAACATGTATATACGTACAAGGATTCAACAGACAAGCCCACGCAAAGCACAAGACACAAGATAAGAAAAACATTCGTGCTTGCAGCGCAAAACAAAATCCACCGAAGCGAGGGAACCCCAGGAAGGCAGGGGAGCACTCCACCGGTCAAGGACTTCGCACGATCAAGAAACTGTCAAGACAAATCCAACGCAATCGGACCTGCTGTTTTCCGGATGCCCGGACGGGGGTTCGTCGTGAGAGCCGGGTTATTCAGCAAAAGAGTGACCAACCTGCATGTAAGTGCTTTCCAACAGCAGGCAAGCGAAAGCCTAGCGCAGTGATCCGAGCACGATGCACATGAGATAAGCTATAGTGCTGCCCAATGCAGTACGCAAGCAGGGTGAGTTTGTTCCCACCGGCCCACGGCTTGACAGCATGCAAACAAGCATGCGCATCGAAGAGCACAGCACTGCCACTCACCGGTAAGCGTACCTCAGGTACCATTTTATCACCTATTTCTCCGAAACAGTCACCTCCGACCTGCTCCACCCACAAATAACCATCATCGAAGTGCGAAACACCCAAGCAGCAGCAGGAGGAGGAGGAGGAGTAGTAGTAGTAGTAGCAGTAGCAGTAGCAGTAGCAGTAGCAGTAGCAGTAGCAGTAGCAGTAGTAGTAGTAGTAGTAGTAGTAGTAGTAGTAGTAGTAGTAGTAGTAGTAGTAGTTTTGGTAGTGGTAGTGGTAGTGGTAGTGGTAGCGGTAGTAGTAGTAGTAGTGGTAGTAGTAGTGGTGGTAGTAGTAGTAGTAGTGGTAGTGGTAGTGGTAGTGGTAGTGGTAGTGGTAGTAGTGGCGGCAGTGGCTGTGGCAGTCGTAGTCGTAGTGTCAGTCGCAGTCGCAGTGGCAGTGGTAGTGTTGTTGTTACGTAGTGGTGAGTAGTGAGTTGTGCCGACTTAGTAGTGCTTGGTAGTTCGCAGCTAGTAGCTTGTTGACTTGAGGAGCTCGGTTTTGCATGGGTAGCAACACTCAATTGGACCACGTGTTGTTCGACCAACACGGACAAATTCAAGTGAAGCTACCGGAAGAAGCAGGTCTTTTTCGAAGGAACTGTGTCAAGCAACATGGCACGATTGGGCACTGAGGCCTTAAAGCAGAATTATCACGACACTGTGCGTTGTGACGCAATGGCTCCAGCAGCATCGAGTGCGCTGACGCAGGCGCCCGGCTTCGGGCGGCGGGTGCCTGGTCCCGCAGGAACAACACGGGCAGATAATCCAAGTGGGCTTCGGTTTGCATCAAAGCTCCTTGGATTCTGGGCTGGAAGGATGTGTGGATTTCTCGCACGCTAGCAGCTTCCATTTTCGGAACGGTGCGGCATTTGATGTTTATCCGAGGCGTTTTGGGCCCATCACGCTGCAGTTACACTGCTTCATTTTGCAGATAGTTCTTGGGACATCCAGAAATATCCAAATAAGCAAAGACACAAAGAGTGGCATCGTGCGATGTACTTACCGGACCGAACTGTTTTGACACGATATGCCGAAATCCGGCAATGTAGCCTCCAGCACCGAGTCCCGCAACAACCAGTCGAAGTTTGAGATCTGCAGTTTCAAGCATCCAAGCCTCCAACAGTATGGTCTTTCGGGTCATGGGCTTTGCGACATGCCAGAACATCGGCATTAATTCAAAATCTGTTGAAGCTACTGGCATAGTTTCCCAGGAGCCGGACATATCCATGCAGGGCACCCGGTCTCTGTGTGCATTTGCTGTGCAGGTGCTGGTGGCCGCAACAGCCTGCGGAATCGCCGCCTTTGCAGTCCGCGGAGCAGCCACGCGGATTCAGAACGCCTTGCAACTCGGCTCAAGTTAAGTGGCAAGTCTACTAGATCAATGTTTAGGGTTCGACGAGCTTTGCACGCCTCAACACTGCTTTCCAACCTTGGTGTGGCGGTGTCGTATTTCTCAGGGCGTGTCCTGGTGTCTCGATGTGATGCTCGGCCGGCCTTCCGCTGTCAGTGTTTCCGTGTCCCGGCTTCTCGTTGTCCGCGTGTTCCAGTCTCTTTGTGCTCCTGCGGCTGCTGCTACTGCACCGCCCCTGAAACACTACTACCACGGCCCTTTCCACTGCCACTACTGCAACGAGTACCACTTCCACTAGCACCACAACTACTACTTCCACTATTACCACTGCTGCTGCCACTTCCACTCGTACCCCCACTCCCACTACCACTAGCACGACGACTACAACTGCTATTTCGCGCTTGTGCCACATCGGGTCGATAGGAGACGGCGGGGGCACCGAAATCAAGACTCCCATAACGGCGAAGAAAGAATGACCGACTCCTCTAGATATGATTACACAGTATCAAAGCGTGGTATGCCAATGTGTGCCATCATCGTGGAAATATGTGCTCGTAAGCACTACCGCGAAGGAGCCCGAGGGCATAGGCTGAAATCTGGAACACCGGGAGGAGACACCAAGACATCAGGACATTGGGACGAGGACTGAGAGAAAAAGAGACGGGCAGCCGAGCACGGGAACACAATACCGACGTCAATGAAACACCTGAACACCAAGACACGGACCACAGAGACCCCAAGTCATAGGAATGCATGCGCGTCAAGAGTCGGGGCAGAAACACAGTAATCGCAGCCGCATGAAGAACACGGCTGAGCATCGAGACACCGCCGTGCTGGGACACATGGCACTTCATCGGGACACCAAGACAAAGATGACAAAGGGACTCCAGGAAATGCTCGAATCGGGACTGCGGGGTAGTGATCGCCAGATAAAACAACCGTTTGGACACCCAAGGAACCAGGACCACTAATCCCTTCCCCCCTACAGTCACCCCCCCTTAATATAAAAACTCCCGGCCCCCGGAATTTCGCGGTTTCGGGCCCCACATTCAATTTAAAAGGGACAACATTAGGGGGGGGTGGCAGATCTGTATGTGTTTTAATTGAACGAAGACTACAGGAGTACTAAAGACAGCAGAGCTTTAGGGTTTAAGGGTTTAGGGCTCAGCGCTAAAGCTTTAGGGCTTGGGGCTTTAGGGCTTAAAGTTTAGGGCTCAGGGCTTTATAGAGCCAAAGATTACAGCAGTACTAAAGACACCAGAGCTTTAGGGTTTAAGGGTTTAGGGCTCAGGGCTAAAGCTTTAGGGTTCAGGGCTTTAGGGCTTAAAGTTTAGGGCTCAGGGCTTTAGGGTTTGGGGCTCGAGGTTTAAGGCTTAGGACTTTAGTAGGGCTTCAGGGCTCCAGGCTTAGGATAGCTAGCAGCTGGGAGTCCGGGTACGTGGGTGCACCGAAACCCCCCCTAATATAAAACTAAACCCTCCAAATCCAGTTTTTATATTAGGGAGGGGGGGGGGGGTCCTTTAATATTAGGGGGAAGGGATTCCCACAGTGGTTCCCATCAGAACGTCGGTTTTCGACTGAGCATGTGTTACTCTCGAGGAGAGTGGACTGAAAAGTCTTGCTTTCCAGCAGCAAATGGCAAAGAAGCATAAAGAAGCCTAAGCCAACAAAACAAGTCAAGCTACGGTTGATGATATAAATCCTGCATTACCCATATGTATGGTGAGGAATCTACCATATTTTCCATAGTTTAGGGACCTTCAGTGCGGTTTGCTATGGAAGCAAGCTGCGTTTGCACATGCCTCTCCCGTCGTAAGCCTTGGCCTCAGCACGGGTTCAAAAAGGGTCCTGAAGGTAATGCAGGATTTATATCATCAACCGTACGCCCCAGCCTTTCGAAAGCTCATGCTGAGATCTCCGAAGCCAGGTTGTACCATCCACGGGCCATTCCGGGAGACTGGTATCCCGGAACGAAGTGTCGCCGCAGAGTTTCGTGCAGCCACAAAAACAGACGTTTCGCGCAGTTCGAAGGTACTACGAAAAAGCTATTGCAGAGATGTCCCTCAGATTGCAGCTCCAAGGGTACAAAATCAAGGACAGTGAGTCATAGGTGCAGTCATTCTTGCTCAGCATCCCCGATATGTGCAGGAACTTGATTATGTTGCGCAGAAGCGACAGCAAAAGGCCTTGTTCGTTCTGGCCTTAGCTGCTCGAAACTCATGGGTGATCATGTTCGCAACTCGTTCCGTCAAGCAGCGGCTAACTGACTCGGAGGTTCGCCCCGAAGAGATGGCGGGTTGCCCTTTGTGGTTGGTGTTTGGTGAAGTGCTCAGAAGTGTGCATTTCTTTCTCGTGCCTTTGACACCACCACTCATCGTTTAAAACTGCCGTTCGAGATATGGGAGTGTCGCCAAGACCTTGCGGTGTCCCATGGGCCATGGCGGCCATCAAAGAAATGAGCGCCACGGTCTTCGTCCCCAGAACTCAAGATTCGCACAACACACTCCGCCTGTCGAACCCTGTCGCGCGTCGGCGTGGTCCTTCAGGTGACAAGCCAGCTCCAGCCGGAAATCGCATTGCAACTACTTTCGTAGAAGCAAACAGCCATGCCGTTTCGCAACGGATGCCAGACGATGCACCCCAGCAACTGAGTGTTCAGCCCCATGACAAGGTAACTTCATCTCTGCAAAGGACCGGTTGTGGAGTCTGCATTCTGGGCCGTGCGACGAGTTTGCTTTTGCAGCTGTGGATTTGGAACGGCAGCCCGAACGGACGACTACAATCGAACTAGAGAAGGCAGCAACGGATGGAGCCCGACAGGCAGAGAGAAATGTTGATGCCGAAAGAGGTCGACAGCATGGCTTTGGTCTGCAAAACATCGCGCTTTAAGTTCGCAAAACAGAAGGGCACGGCACGGAAACGAGGGCAGCACGGGCTGTGGATTATCATGTACGGCTTCTGCTCCTTGTTCCCGCGCACCAGACAAGCAAACCTTGGCACAGTGGGGTTATCTTCTCGAGCTTTTTCCAGACATGTCTGGCGTGGAGGTCATGAAACGTAAGCTTGCAACATCAAGTCTGCGGCAATGTATGTCACATGCGAGCTTGGAAGCAAGCAAGATTAGCCTCAGAGGTGCAAGGAGACATGAGGTGTTACATGGAAGTCCTATTCACCAGTTGGTCCCGACTGCTCGCTAATTGCGGCAGCAGCTGCAGGTGGAAATGCCATGGTTTCAGCCGACTGGCTGCCTTTCTGCAATTGAAGGAGACCCAGAGTACATGCCATGCAGCTGCCAGTTCGACTCCAAGTATCCCCAAGCCGAAGCCCGGCTCATGAAAAATGGCAAAAGCACACTTTCCCATCCTGAATACAAACACTGCACATGATGCAACACCGATTTAGTGCAATTGATGCCCTGCTATGCCATGAACATCTCAGGCTGCCCTTCTGTGAGGCTGCCGTGTCGATGAAGGAGGGTCGTGTTTGACGAAACTTGGCACGTGGGAACCATGATCTGCCATGTGCTGAGGCCACGAGTGCCATGCCATGCTTCCTGCTGATCGACTACCCTGGCTTTGGCTTCAACAGTGCTCGAGCTGCTTCTGAAGTTTGTACCTGGCATGCCTGCAACCGTTCATGCATAATCGCATGCGAGATGTGCCAATCGTCCGCATGCGACGCACGTCAGGCGGAGAGCCCTCTCCCGCCGCCGCCCTGGAGTCTTCCAGGCAAGCATTGGCACAGCTGCTAAGTGAGCTTGGGCAAAAGATCCTCCGTCAGCATTGAGTTGGGATTGCTTTCGGAGCCTCTGGGCCGCAATACTTCGAATCTGGCACTGTGCCACGCAGCCAAGGTCGCCAGAATCGATCAACCTACTCGGGCACAGCTTGGGGGCAGCTGCTGCATCACAGCTTGCAGCAAGCCTTTCCAGGCGCTCTGAATTCAGTCTGAGTCTGAATCTTTGATGGTTTCGGGAACTGGGATCTGCGGCGTGTTGGTTTCAGTTCTAGCTGTCACAAGTCTGGAGTAACGGGCCCATATTTCCTGGAACGCTGATGGAGAGCGATGCACAAAGAAGCCTAAACGGCAGCTACAGAAGTCAGGTTTCGATTGCTCAGATGAATCTGCTGGGCTTCTCTGGACTGTCTTGTTGCCGACTCTAGACTCAAACTCTAAAACAACAAGGGAGCCATAACCTGCTGGGTAACTTGCTGCCATACAATTGCAAGCCACCTAGCCAGTGTCAATTGATGAGCCGTTTCGTAGAACACATTCCGCGCCATAAGACGCCTGCTTACGAGGATCAGCTTGTCCCATTGCACCCCTCTGTCGTGTCCATCTCTCCATGTCATGGCAGTCAAGAACACCCATGAACACCCGATGTCATCGAATCCAGCTCGAGCATGTCCGAGCAAAGCGTGACGTGCATCAAGGACACGCACGGTTCCGGACAGGGGATATACCATGTGGGAGGGCGGATTTTGCGGGCTACAACTCGTCTATTCGATAGGAGTCCCTACAGACACAGAGTCCGAGAGTCCTGTCTAGTGGTCCCTCCCCAGTCGAAACCCAAGGTCTCAAGATAGAAGCCATTACGAAAACGCGGATACTGGCGCATCCCCATTCTTCTACTTGGCTCTTCTCATTCTCAAGTCGTGCCACACGCTTTGCCCCAAGCTTGTCCACCAATAGTGCAGATCGATGGTAAGCCAAGCATGTGCAACACAGCGTTGCAGATTGAAGGTCTGATGAGTATGCAAAAGTGCAACCTGGGCGTCTGCTTCTGTCTTCTCCGTTTCTCAGCGTCGACGAGTCTCAGCTTCTCCCATTCGCGGTTTCCATGCTGTCCAGTTGTCAGGAGTCAGTTTCGTTTTGACACTTAGGAAATGGCAGCAGTTTTGTTCGGTGGTCTCTTGCCTCGATGGCTTTTGCGGGCATTGGTGACCCACAGATGGAACAATGCCGCGACTGTACCTGATGCAGCTACTGCGGGCTGGCAGGCATCGCTTTGAAGCCGTGGCAGCAGGGTCGTGCAAACTTTCCAGCCGCAGGTTTCGATAGTTCACCCGCCGGACGATGAGATCGTCCCATTTAAGCACGGGGAGGCTGGAACTGAAGCTCGGGCTTGTTGATGCTCAAGCGGGAACAAAGATAAACTAGACATCGGAATTCACAAAGTTCGCCTCCACTGTTACGGACCGGCATGCAACTGCAGCAAGGCAGCGATAACGGAGGGAAGGGCAACCAGGGAAGGGCACGAGACTGGGCATTCAGGGCAGGCTCCGACGGCAAGACTTTTTGTAAGGCGATGTTACAGAGCCGCTTGGGCTACGCAGGAGCTGCAAAGCTCAGTTCGAGCTTTGGGCAGGGAGTGCGAGCTGCTGCGGCCAAAGGCTGGTCTGCTTAGCGACGAATCTATCTCCATTCCTCTGCAGTAGCAGTGAAGTAGTGTTGGCACTCCTCTGCCGTTTTCTCCCTTCCCACTATGTTTCAAGCAATCTCAAAACCTCATGTCTCAATGCTGGCGCAGGGGTGCGGCCACAACGATGTTCTCTTCGCTGCGATGCCTACGTACGTCAAGCTGATGGGGCTGAGCCGGTTGTAGTGTGGAGTTCATGTTTGCGGAGGCAAAACTGGCACATTCGGCTGGCCCTGAAGCATTTACGAATTCATCTGCAATCTGTTGTTCTTGTTTCCCGTGTATCCATACACTGCAGTTTTGGAGCTGCATGTCCACTCAGACGACCCGTTTGAGAAGATAGTGTGGGAGAAAGAGATGAGGTGTGAAAGTTTGAATGCCCCCGGGCAGGGACATGAGCCTACAGGCACCCAGCGTTTGATGACAATTCCGTGTTGTATCGTGTTGCCCGTGAGTGCTCTTTGTGCAGTGCGTGTGCAGTGAGTCTGCAGCTTTGTTCCATGGTCACATTGTCGTCTCACCTGATGCATGTCAACTCTGTCAGGGCTGTCAGTGTCTGTAAGTCCTCGAGTCGACAACTGACCATGCGACCATGCCGTTCATCCCTTTGGCATAAACCTCAAGTCCCGCGAGAAATCGGACGGAAGAGAGCTTTTGGAAGAGAGCTTTTGTTCGAGCTCGTCAGAGAGCGACAGCCTTTGTACGCATGGGGTCGTGAAAGACCCTTCCTGTTGGGAAGTAGATAGACAGCAGTGGCCAGAACAAAGGCCAAGGACGGGTTCATACCGTTCTGACTGACAGGTTTGGTCTCCCGGCAAGAACTGGAAGGCACGAATGCTTTGTCATGCTTTGTCAATGTCAGCTCAAGAAATTCAGCTCTGGCTGGCACTCGTTTTCTGCAGGCTTGTATCACATTTAGCTGTTCAGAGGTCTCACCGGCACCGTCATTGCTGGTCCAGATCATCAAGGCTATATTCACAATGGTCAGGGGCAAAGGCTTATATTTGAGGATGTCCCTGTGCTCAGAGGTTTGTACCAGATGAAGATGATGATCGAGGACAGGCATTCTGGTAACTTATTCTACGGACGTAGTACTGTGGAAAAGACAGTAGCGACCACAAGCCGCGTAGCCTCGTACAAGCGGTCTTCAACACATTTTCAACTTTCAATTTCCTAAGTCTGAGCTTGCCAACGAGGAGGGCGAACTGGACACTGTCGTCGTGAATGCTGAGAACATCACCCTGCGACTCCGAAGAAGCCGTCTCCTTAGTCCCCTTGCAGCTTGTAAGCGCAAGGAACTATGACTATGATAATGTGCTTCAACCAAATTTAGTGGACATCGTACTCGCCAGAGTATTCCACGAAGGCATCCGTGCCACTTCATGCTGGTCACATGTTGGACCGTCAATAGGCCATAGACTCCATCTTCGTTGGTGGTTTCATGCGCATTGCCAAGAAAGTACTGTAGCTTCCTCACAATGTATTCCTACGTTCATGCCCTCAGACGGTTACGGAGCTTCACCACATAGACTCAACTGCCCTTGCGTCGCAGCCGCCATGAACATAAATGAGCTGCCCACACGAGCCCACACCAAGCAAGCAGGCATAGACAGGCGTGCTCGAGCATTGAGGCTGTGGTCAAGCAACCAACACCGCAAACTGAGATGACTGGGAAATGGTTGCAGGTGGGCGACACGGCGTCTTGATCGCCCGTGGCTGCACCTATTCTACCACCAGGTTCATCGAGCAGCGGATGATTTACAGGTAACGAGGCCCGAGAAGAAGCCCGCCCAAACACAAACCACTTCACACACGCGCGCACGCACACACACACACACACACACACACACCAACAGACCCAGAAAAGCAAATCACATACAACGAAAGAACACAGACGCATGCAAACAGACATGCTTTGCATAATTTGAGCATTCCTGGCCATTTGGCCGGGAAATTTCACAAGGGATAAACCCTGCAAGCAGGATTGCTTAACCACACATGGACGGTTGACGTGGGCATGCGATTTCTCCTTCAACCTTCCCGGCAGAACGTTGCGGAAAGAACACTTCTTGCAAGTTGACAGTGCATGCAGGGGCCACACTCACGCCCATGAAGCAGGCCTTTAGCTAGCAGAACGAACATGAACGAACTGTCCGTTCAGTTCTGCTGATTCGCGATTCAGTTGCACTGCTGCGCCTAGCAGTTCGGACGCAACAGATGGCATTCCATGTTCATGGCTATTTCTGTATGTACTGAACAAGCGTCGTGCTCCAGTTAGGTCTTCATTCGATTACTGCATGCTTGCACGCTTCCAGCAATCGCCACAGGTGCCTTGCCAGAGCTTGCTCGGTCGACTCCATCAGAATCACACGAGGCATGCAGTCGCAGCTGTCGAAAATTGTAGGAGGTCATTTCATCAAAATGCACGGCTAGCTCCCTGCAAACTTGAAGAAAGGCGCCTCTCGAATTGGAGGGTGTGCCCTGGCTGCAGTTCACCAGGGAAGTCGCGCGCCGCATTGCGGGGGGTCAAGAGCTGTCAGGCGACGAGTGGACCGCAGATCGGCTCCACCAGCCCAGCAGAGCGAGCGGCGGAGCCAGGAGCGGAGCCAGGAGCGGAGCGAGCGAGTGCAAGGCCCAAGGCCGGGCAGGGCCCCAATGCCAATCGCACATGCGTGGCGAAGGCTTCTTGGCGAAGGCTTTTCTTTGCCCGCCGAGGTTCGGTTTTGCCCAACTGTGTCGGTGGAGCCGATCTCTGCGCGATCCTCTCGTGTGGTGAGCCTTTCAGCCGCAGCGGCTGAATGCTTGGTGGTCTGAGGCACAGCTGTTGTTCCAGGTGAGTTTGTCCAGTTGATGCTGCTCCAGCACTATTCGCTTTAACACGTTGCCCATCTTTTAACCCACGACGATGTCGCAGGGCTGCGAACGTCGCAACTCCTCAACTTAGGCTTCCGGCGACGTCTCGCAGCACGCACTTACGGAGGCGCTTGCAGCGGCGCTACCTTACCCAGAGTTTCCCGAGTTGGCTGATTGTCTGTGTGCACTGGTAACCGCAATTGCCACATGCGATACCGACAGTCTGTCTGACGAAGCTCAGCAAGATGGCTTAGGCTGGATGGGCTTAGCATGACAGCCATGACAGAGTCGTCGCTGGTGCCCCTTCGGTTGGCTTCGTTGGCATTGGATTGAAGTCTTTGATGCCCGTGGATTGCCAAATAACAGAGCTAGCAGAAGAGGGCGAATGTGCGACCTTCCTGGAGAGCGCCTTGGACAGATGTATGCTTCCTTTGCACGATTGCGTGCAAATGCCTCGCAGGGTGAATCTGCTTAGAGTCCACAATCAGCTTCCCAAAGCAGGTGATGATCTTAGACAGCAGCTTCAACGAGACATGGAAGCTTGGAACACCATCGCTCGCCAAAGGTTGAGCGCCTCTCGTGATGCTCGGAAGCGGTCGGAGAAGGACGTTCAACTCCTGACGAACAGACTACGGCTTTTAAGGTCTGAGGAAGCCAAAGCTCTCCGCATTATTGAGGAGGTACGACGGCGGACAAGAGAAGTGCTGGAGACAAGAATGAATAACGAGAAGATGCTGCAGTATCAAGAGACCGCCAAGCAGTGCAGCGTGAAGGAGCCCAGCCAGAAACGACTGCACTTGTAATTTTACCCACTAGTTAAATTAAATTAGTTTGACCGCAGCTTGTCTGTCTCTTCCACCTCGCCTCAAATTCTCAAGGCTCTTAAGCGCCGCCGAGCACACCTGGCCGCGAAAAACTGACAGCTGTAAGGACGGCGGCAGAATGCGGCAGAAACTTCTTGGTCGCAATGGTTGTCAACCACAAGCCAAAACAAACGAGGCGGCGGCTTGAAAAAACCGGGTTGCCGCACAGGTGCACCCCTGACGACTCTGTTGTTGTTCAAATAAAAACTCGTCCTGATCTTCGTATTCTCTCGGTTCTGGCTGGTTCGACCTTCGTCGGACTCCCATCCTACCTTGTAGAGTCCGAGAGGTGCCTTGTTTTCAATCCGTGTGATGCGCGACACCTGTTGACCTTCATTTGGCTCCTATCGAATGTCCTATTGCAGGTTTCTGTTTTTCTGTGCAGCTTCAAAGCTGTCGTTGATCCATGTTGATCTCCGCTGTTGAGCTCCGCACAAAGATAGCTTGCATTTGAAGGCTTTCTAGCGTGCAGCTCCATCGCATGTCAGTGTTGCAACAGCCAGCACGCTACACGGGTCACAATCTGATGTCTACATCAAACACACGTTTCATGTGACAGACAAGACAACACTCTATGTCAGAGGTACTGCGATCGGAGATGCGAGGGCTGCGTCTTGAAAGGAGAACACTCTCGTTTGCTGTTTATTTGTGCTGGCATCATCGGATTTGCCGGGTTTCCGCATCGCACGGAGCCCGAGCCCAAGAGGCCCCCAGCGGGCAACCGGCTTCTACATGCGAAAACGCCGAAAACCGACATTCTCGCGAATGCAAGCTACAGGGTAGGACATTGGCGGCATTGGCCTCTCAGGCTCGGAGATGTGGTGACAAGTCTATGGCAAAAGCAATGCAGTCTGAGGGGCATGGAGGGTACCCATGACGTCGTATGAGAGGGGGTCGTTTCGGAAGAAGGTGGAACATTCGCGTTGCAGTAGGAGCACCGGTCCCGTGCAGGTTTCGTACCGCAGCGTGAGATATGCAGCATCGTGTAATTGAGGAAGTGGAGCAGAAAAGGCGAGAGAACAGTGGTCGCCGAGCGAGGGCTCGCTCTGCTCGGCAGAAGGCAGAGCAAGAGACTGCTTGGTTCAAAAAGCGCAACTCGGCAGCTTTCGGCAGCCTTGGCACGTTGGCAGATCCACGACAGGGGATGTTGCAATGGCATGTTAGGGAGTCTTGAGGCCAGGCGGATGAGCTTCGCACACCGCGCTTGTCAACCAGGCGCTCAGTGAGCCCCGGGGCGCAGCATCACGTCCTAAAATCTGTCCGCTCACCAAGATCTCCGAGCTTGGAGTCTTCACCCTCTTTGACCTCCGTGGGCCGCTTCGAGACGGTGGCACCGAGAGTTCCGCATGTGGCTGATGCCTAAGCCTCAGCAAAAGGGAGCTGAAACTACTGTTATAATACAATTGAATACTGGAGAGGCTTTGTGTGTTTTGTTTCGATTAAGGCCCGAACCAGTGCACGCGGAGCCGCGCTCCTCACCGAGGAGCGGGAGCTCCTCGCCGCTCGGATGTCGATTCTTCCAGCAGTACGCAGTGCTCGTCTGACACCCTTTAAACATCTTTCAATCCACATTGCGTAGGGCAGATTGCCCAAAACTGTAACTTGCAAGGTGCGTCTGCGAAGATCAGAGGAATCCACGAGGAGTTGCCAAAGTTGTGCATGTCAGCTTGATGTTGCCCAGGTATGCAGGACTGCAGTAGGCTCACACCATCGCACGCCCCCGTGCCTTTGGCAATGGCAATGGCACTCCGGCACTCGAAAGCAGAAAGTCTTTTCGTCCTTTCAGAAACGAGGAGGTGGCAAGCACGACTTGAGAAAATTGAACAACACGCGACGGGGCTCACCTCCGGATCAAGTCTACTTTACAGCTAGGTGAACGATTTTCATTCGGACGGCCAATGGGTAATGGGCGCATATCATCTCCTGCTAGTTTTGCCACTAGCGCATGACCAAAGCCGTTGGCTGAAGATCGCAGACAACTGTACCCAGCACGAAATGAGAAGTAAGACTTTCATGGAGTGCCCACGCTGGCTGTAGTGAGGCTGTAGTGACTGTAGTGTCTCTGTCACCCCCCTCTGCATTGACGATTGACGTCGAAGGTTTCTATGATTTTCGGGTAGGTGGGCTCAGAGCTGCATCCCAATCCCAACGAGCAGAATCCCTTTAAGTTGCATCAGGATTCGACGACCACCCCTGCCTCCAGTGGCACTGGAAGACGAAGGCTTGTGGTTATGTGGTACTGTACGTGTAGTCACGGTAGGGATTATTAGGGCTTCGTTACCGGTTGGTTGTACTCGACAGGTTCCGGGGGTTGCGACTGTATTCAGGCTTATGTAACTTCTGTACATCGTGTACTGTCATCTGTGTGGAAGGCCCGGTACGATCTGCTTTGAAAGAGGCCAGTTTCACTCCAAGGCGAAGGACTGAGCGCAATTGAAGAATACTGGCGGCTGGCGACTGCCCATGCATGAACAATGCAAGCAATGTTAAGCGGTTTCACTTTGGGCAAGGTTCCCAACGCAAAGCAGTGCTGCACAGCTCGCGCAGCCCAGGCACACTTAAGGCCTTGAGCTCGAGCCGCAGAAACAATCAGTGGCTCGAACGCCGTGTGCCTGCGTGTTTCCGATGGCTTCGCTTGCTGTTGTAGTGGCACCGAAAAGATACAAAAAGAGAACCGCTGATTGACATAATGTCCGGTTGACACAAACTGTGTCGCGAGGATAAGTCGTTCACTCCGTAGAGAAATTGTGAGATGCTAGAATGCTAGAAGGTGTCTATCACGGAGAATTGCTCTGGACGGGACCAGAAGTTCGAGGACTTAGACAACGAGCTCGGCACTGAGCTTTCATTGCGTGTGGCATACCGTATCTTGTACCTGCTTTCGCAGGCTTTCAAAGTATCGTGAAGGCAGCGGTGTGGCTTCACGTTTGGCATTTACGCTGGTGTAATCCTCAGCCTCCTCAGCCGTAGTTTCGTCTTTTCGGAACCGGCAATGTTGCACGCCGCAGTTCTGCGCGCAAGGCTTTGGGTCCACCTCGGCAGAAGAAATCTTGATAGCACTGGGACAAGAGCCTGAAGGCTTTCCTGAAGACGTCTTTCATGCCGCAGTGGCTGTAGTCCTCGCCCCTTTCAATGGCTCGTGCTCGTGCACTCCGCTCACGGCCACTTCCGTCCATGGCGGTCCTGAAGGTCCGGCATAGGGCAAAGGGCTCCAATGCCAGACCGAGGCCCGGGCCCAGAGCAGCTTCGTCGGGAATCCGAGACCGGTTTCACGCCGACGAAGTCGGACTCGTTTTGAACGGGGCAACGCCAAAGCGTCAGACTGTAAGCAAAAGCGCTGCCCAACTCGAGGCTGTGTGCACTCATGATGTGGCGTGTGACGAGTGGCTCCAGCCGGCCAGAATTCCAGCCTGTTTGGAACCGACCACGAGTATTTCACATTATGCAGAAGCTTGCACCCACATGTTGCAAAGTCTTCGACGAAGGCTTCTAAGGAGCTTGCTGCAGCAAAGAACATGCAAATTCCTGCTGAGTTCATGTGCTGTGATGCTTGGTTGCATATGGTTTCTTTTATTCAAGGTGCTGAAGAGAACTTGTCGGCACAGAACTTGCGCAGCCAGAAGTTTTGACCTTCAAGGTTTGCCTCTCTGTACCGGAAGTCGCTCTCAAAGCTGACTGCTCGCGCCCTTGATACACAGTGGCTGCTACCTCTCCTGAAACCTGGTCATCTTCTTCTTGGTTGCTGAATGATTCGTTGCACTGCAAGGTTCGCACAGGCTTTGTCGAAACTGTGCGAGGCCCGACTGCACTTGAGTCATCTGCGCTCAGTGAATTGCTAATGGCAGCCGGTGCACATCGTTGCTAAAGAGAGAACGGAGGCACACATTGTACTGCAGACTTGTCTTGGCCCGCATATCTGAAGCATGCAGTACAGACATTACACTTACTACAGAAGGAGACAAGCAATCTCAAGTCGCAGCTGCCATGCAGGCAAGGCTGCTTGAAAGCTTGCCCACGCCTTATGCATGAAGGACATGCAGCCGTGAAGCTGGCTTCCCCTCGTAGCTTCTGGAAGGCACAAAGTCATGGAATGTTTTCGGAATGCCAGTGCCCGCCAAGTTACACACCTTCGCACCACAGGAGCATGAAGAGACCACGCTAAGGCTAAGGCACCACCTGGACGGCCGTCAAGTTGAGCCAAAGTTGGAACCACTCGTCGCCCAAGAAGCGGCCCAGTTGTACTTGTTGCTTAGCTGTCGGATGTCGACTAACGTCTGGGATTGTGAGGCGTGGGGAATACGGCGGGCCGCTCTCATGATGTTGGCTGGTGTTTGTGTATGTGTGTGTGTGTGTGTGTGCGTGCGTGTTTGGGTTCATGGGAGGTTTGCAACGTTTGAAGAATGCCTGTCCGCAAAAGGCTTGGGTCTGGTTCAAGAAGCCGCTGGGACGTCAGCGCCTGTCACGTCATTGGCGAGTGACCAACCGGCTGGGCTGCCGACTTCGGGTGGCCCAGACCAGAATCTGCGGCTGCTCCATGGAGATATAGCCACTATACCACTCAAGCCCTGCAAACAGACACGAGCCACATCTGATTTCTGTCGCCTGCATTTCGATGTGGTCGGGTTTCGGCGCATCGTTATGGTCGTCAGCTGGAACTTGACGAAATTTGACGAATACGTCAAGGCGGACAGCACAGCGCGAAATGGCGGACGAAGGCAGAACTTCTTTTGAGGGATGCCGAAATGCCGTCGAATCCCGCGCTCCAAAGTTTCCTTAATAGCCATGCAAGGGGCCGTGGAGCGCTGGATGAGTTGCCGTCGTTTCGGGACAGATCATGCAATTCGGCTCCTCTGGGAAACCCTGCTGAAACTAGCACCGCTGTACTGGTACCTGGTTCGCTCTGGCTCTCTGATCCCGATTGAAATCCCCCAAGCTATATGACAATAAGTACTTGTAATTTGGTTTGCGGTGTCTGGACTGATTACCTCGGCATCTGTAGGACTGTAGGGGTGCGTTGCCCGGATGTCCGAGCCATTTCATAGATTGGGCAGCCAAGCCTTCTTTCAAGGTGAGGCCACGAGCTTGATAGCGCAAGGGTCGTGCTGTGCCAGTAGGTGCTGAGCTGCAGAGTGGCATGAAATCTCGTATTCTCTCTTGTTCTGCTGGTCCGTCCTCCTCACCCTGCTAGGGGGTCGGTTGGGACGAGAGTGAATTCCAGTGCACCCCTAGAGAGCACAAATGAGCGCATCATGTGAATAGTACAGTGACATTGGTGCGGCGAACCAGTGGAACCAGTAGCTTCCCGAGGTACAGTCATCGGTTTGTTGAGACAAAGATTCCATCATTTCTTGCCGCGCCGAAGGCCCTGTTTGCCGCAAAGATCTAGTTGCGGAGGAGGGCATTGGTATGTGTGTGGCGGCGCAGTATGACGGACAGTCGGGGGCAGGACATTGACGCCGACTTCACGGCTCAGGCCCGACAACCGGATTTCAATTCAAGAAGTCAGGTGCTGTGCAGCAAAACCCCTTTTGCTTCAGGTCGCCCGCTGCAAGTTGCACTGCCAAACATGTTTCGGACTCAGCTGTTGCAGTTGTTAATACGTCGACGTGTTTTTGTTACACCTTCGAGTTGGACTTCGAAACCTTCGGAAAATCCGCTACATCTTGGCTTGCTGCCCATTGTGCTCATAGCAACGAAATGTTGGATACCAGGAAAATTGTCCCATCACCGAAAGCAGATGCCACTAGACTTCGAGCACGGCGTTTCATTTTAATCCTGAAACCGAGATCCGAGACTGTCGCGTATCCTTGCAGTTGATTCATGGTTGGGAATCAAAGGTCCGCCATTTCAGGTGTTGCAGCAACTCGCCATTTTCGTTTATTTTCGAACGGGCAAGCCGTGTTTCATGTTCCAGCGGTTCTCCTAGTCCCGGGACTGATGGCCTGTTGTCAGCAGTCGCTGTTGTATGGCCTGAACCGGGACTGGGTACAGTATGTGAACATGCCTGAGTCGACTGAGCTTCTCAGCTCATCAGGCCACATACGTGTGTGTCTGATGTTTTCCCAGCTTTCGGCTCTGACCTCGGTGGTGCGACATGCGTAGCTGCATCGTGGTTGTGCGCTGAGCAAGTCTGCTAAGCACAGTGTTTGAGCCACCTTTCGGAAACGAAGCACCACCGAAATCGGTGGTGCAGTATGCATGCCAGCGTAGCGTCTCTGCGCCGGGAAGGTCCGCCGGAGCCGCGAAGCCAAGAATGCAAAACGCAATCAATCTTTGCGCTGGACTACTACTTCGCCCAGAACGAATTCATGCCAGACATGACTTGGCCAAGGGAATCTACGCACTACGCATCAGGTCCCTGGCTACCCCATGCTTGCAGCAATGAAAGGCTTTACTATTCCCAGCTGTCCACACGAGGTTCAGAAGCGGAAAAGCTTGAGATTGGCTGACGTACCGAGTTGTACGTTCTGGTTGAATGATTGCGAGTTTGCTCTATCCTCGCAATGCTACACGGCTTCTTGGACTAAATCTCGTGAAAGCCACACTCCCTGCAAAGTCTTCGGGTGCACCTTGTTCTCCACACCCGTGCGAACTCACATCGCACCAGCTTACGGGGACCGGGGGCATCTTTGATGTGAAGGACGCATGGGGTGGAATGCTTTTTTTGCGGTTGTCTCTTCTCTGCAGGTGGCGAGGACATACCTTTGCTAGAAGCAGAAAGCAGGACGCCCAGATTACGCAGAAACTGTAACTCTGACTCTTGAATTTGAGACGTCAAGGTGTGCATGCTTCACGCTTGAAATTCCAGAAGAGAGTGAGAGAGAGAGAGAGAGAGAGAGACGGAGAGAGAGAGAGAGAGAGATGCCTCCTGGTGTAGGGGGTAAAGCCCCTGCACCACAACCCTGGCGAAAGAAAAGATGCCAGGAGGCATCCAAAGATAAGGCCATTGCTGTGGACCTCCTCGAAAGAGTCCACGGCGCGACCACGAAGAAGGCCAAAGCTGTTGAGGTAAGAGCAGTCAGATCACCACCAGTAGCCACTGTTACTGCGACAGCTGGTCTTGGGGATTCTGTGTCTATGTTGCTGCTGGAGTTGCTTCTTGAGCTGGCTCCAACAAAAAGGCTGCGTGATGCTGCGCGTAAACCAACGTGTAGCTGTAGGAGATGTTCCAGTCGGTTTTACTCGGCCAAGAGTACTATCCCTCAATTATGCCCGGTCACGTCGGTGCTGCTTGTGTCGCCCACTTTCGTCTGTTATTGTGGGCGAATCCTGCAGGCAAGGTGAGAAAAACCAGCTCTGCCCGATTGGATTATCATAGGTTATCAAACTTCTCACTCGCAAATTCCTACATTAAGCAGTGCCAACGGCATGCGCTGGTTCTGCATGATACAAGTATCACAGAATATCACAGACCAGCGTGAGGAGCATCGGGCCTCGGGAAGTGCGACAGCGGCGCAAGGGCAAAGGAAGGTGACAGCACTCACAATAGCCATCTATGCCCGAGGCTGTGCATAGTGGCGGTGCGGAGGCACCAGCACTGGCGAGACCGGGCGGTTTACCCCAAATTGCGGCAAACCTTGGCAAGCTAATCATCGTGTCACTTGTGAGTCACTTGTGGCAAACAAGCAACGTGTATTCGAGCAGCTCTTTATGGCGACGGATGGAAATGGCAAAGCGTCAAGCGGAGCGATGTTTAAGCCGGGCCAGAGAAGGATAGAGAAGGAATTCGTGTCAGTTGGAGCTGCTGCTGCGGCGGTGTGAGCTCGCACACCCGCTCACGGCAGAGATCAGTCTGCGATCTAAACGGCTGATGCATTTGTAAATGCCCGTATATGGATGGTGTACGCCCTGCATTCACGGTCTCCCCCCGCCCCTCGAACTGTATCCGCCTGGGGAGGGATGCTGACCCTGAGAAGGGGGGGGTAGCTCAACCACCTAATCACGGTGTCTTCATTACTGGGCTCGAAAACAGCAACACTCGGTGGGATGATCCCAAATGCACTTTCAAGACAAAGCACGTTTCAATGTTTTCTCCTGATGAAGCGGGAAGGGTG